GCAATCAATGCAGAAACTATATATGTCCACAACCTGTGTGATTTTTTTTCTCTAAGAATTCAAAACTTTTAATACTCCAAATCATGTCTTCGTATCTACAAAATAGTTTACTTTCATATCCCAAACATTTTTGGATATCCATTAAAGCAACGCTAAGTTATTCAGTTTTTCTTAGTTATCTCTAAACTAGGTAGGTAGGACATATTCAGTTTCTGCATTGACGTATTCAATTATAGTTCTCAAAAAACAAGGCCCACCGGTAAATTCTGGGGTTGATCTGCTGTTTGGACAAGGTAAGTTTAAAGCTATTACAGTCTGTATAGATTTTGAATTTTATACCAGCCAAATAAACATGGAACCTTTTTATAGCATAAACAACAGCAAGGCACTCAAGTTCATAACTGTGATATTTTGATTCATCAACACTGGTACGTTTGCTAAAATAAAAAACAGGTTTCCATTTACCGTCTTTTTGTTTTTGTAGGAGGATCGCGCCAAAACCGTGGGAGCTTGCATCACAATGCAATTCGGTATCGCATGTAGGTGAATAAACAGCTAAAATCGGGTAAGAAGATAATCTACTTTTCAGAGTCTCAAAACTGTTTAATTCTTTTTCAGAAAATATAAATCTGGCATCCTTTTTAATTAGATCATATAAAGGCTTTGCAATAATCGAAAAATCTTTTATAAACCTACGGAAATAACTGGCTAATCCGACAAATCGGTGCACTTCTTTAGTATTTCGCGGAATAGGATAATCTAATACTGCTTTAATGTTTTCTTTACTCGGTCTGATACCGTCAATGTCAATTGTATAACCTAAATAGTTGATATTGTAATTTAAAAAGCTACATTTGTCTAACCTTAATTGCAATAAATTTTTATTCATAATAAATAAAACTTGTTTTAATGTGTCTAAATGTTCATGCAAAGTTTCAGTTGCTATTAGAATATCATCCATATAAATTATTATTTTACCTTCATTCATAAGATTCTTAAAAATTTTACTTATATACCTAGAGAAAACTGCAGGACTATTGCACAATCCAAAGGGCATTCGCAAATACTCATACTGGCCTGAAGGCGTCACAAAACTTGTATACCTAGTACAATTTTCTGAAAGTTTTACATGAAAGAATGCGTTCTTTAAATCTAGCTTTGAAAAGTAGATTTTATTCTTTAAAGTGTCAAGTAAGTCGTCGATAAGTGGCAAAGGAAATCGGTCGCGAATTGTTATTTTATTTAGTTCTCGAAAATCGACGCATAATCTTAAGTCACCGGTTTTTTTTGCACTAATACGATGGGTGATGAATAAGGGGAATTACTTTCACGAACTATTTTCTGTTCTATTAAACTAGATATCATTTTGTCAACTTTTTGTTTGTCATAATAAGATAGTCTTCTCGGTCTAAAATTAAAAGGGGTGTGTTTTGGTTCAAGTTCGATATTCATTTCAAAATCTAAGTCTGGCATTGTTGGTTTTTCAGCACATAAATAATCTTTAATAATATTAGTAACCTTAAGTCTTGTTTTGTTATCTAATTCAGGATTAATATCAATTTCAACCTCACTTGTTTGAATATCATTAATAAGTAACAATTGTCGTTCAAAATTATCAAGCTCATTTTTTTCTGAATTCACAGAACTAATCTCTACTTTGTTGTTTTCAAAAGTAACCTTAATATTTTCATTAAAAATAAAATTTCTCCCAAAAAGACAATCATAAATCATTGTCGTCTCAGGTACAACATGGTATAAAATAGGAATTTCTAAGTTATTAACATAAGTTACACACTCATAGGTGCCTAATATTTCAATTTGAGAATGATTTACTCCAATATATTCAGTTTTATCAAGGTTAGTCTTAATTTTGTCTAATGGTACAAAAATATTTTTAATTAATGAAATTGGACTACCTGAGTCGATAATGGTTATGAGATCATAAATCATACCCTTTAACTTTACATTCATTGAACAGTCTGGTACCCTGGGAGTTGGCTTAACATTTACAAAATGCGTAGATCTTGCAGCATCGCTCTTGGCTCCTGGTTGAACATCATCTGCTCTTGGAGGTCTGCTTGTCGTTCTCTTCGAACAGTCCTTGGAGAAGTGACCCATTTCTCCACAAATAAAACAGGATCCTCTCTCTCTCTTTGGTTGGGTACAGTTGGCAGAAATATGACCACTGCGGTTACAGTTGAAACATTTAAATGGTTTCGGAGAAGGTTTCACACTGGTTGCAGCACTGGTTGCAGTCGTAGAAGTTTGGGGAGTCGTAACGTTTCTACTTGTATAGTTGGGTGTCGAGTTTTTCTCAACAACTCTTTTCATTGTATTTAACAGCTGTTCTAAGGTGGTAAAACACTGCATTCTTGCTTGAGATTGTAGTACATAATTGTCAAATCCATCAATTGTGAATTCAATAATCTCTTCTTCATCTATTCCAGCTTTATTTCCCAATAAGATTTTTTCATGAAAATAATCTGTGAATTTCTCACCTCTCTTCCACCTTCTTTGTTCAAATTTTTTTCTTAGTTCAATCTTGTTTTGTCTCAACGCAAACATTTTCTTTAGTTCTTCTTTAAAGATGGACCAATCCATAGTAATAAAGTCTACCTTTGAATAATACCACTCTTTGGCTTGTCCCTTAAGTTTTCCAACCGCAACTAACTGCATAACATTATCACTAATTTTGTAAACGCTCTGAACAGCATCAATTCGTTCCAGCCAAAGCTCAACATCTTCCAAGGTCATTTCCAGAGAATTCTGGAAGTAACGCTGCGATTTCTGAATTTTTTATTTTTTCGTTCGACTGCTCAGGTTGGGGAGTTCTTTGTCGGTCATGTAAAACCAAGGCTCTTACTGTCGTTTGGATTATATCCTCTATTGTCATCATTGTACCTTGATTCTGAACAGGTGAAGCTGAACAGCTTGCATTTTGGCCTAAATTGTCATTTTTATTGGGGGGATCCATACTTCTTGTAGCGGTTTTTTCTTCGTTGCTTTAATTTAACTGATACTTGCACATAACGGATGATTCTTCTGGTCTAATCCCACTTCTGATCTTTGTAGTCAGGTCCGGGACGGAAATAATAACACTTCTTGATTTATAAACTTTAATTTACTTAAAAAAACAGTGAGCGTCTCTTCGCCATTTTCTCTTAAAATTAGTGTTGCCAACCTTAAGAAACTAAAAACTAAAAAAATGGGACCTACATTATCGACAACAACAAAAATGCACACGGGCAGTGTTGCCAAAATGTATAATTTTTCCTACATTTGTTAGTTTACCATAACCCCTAGTTACAAGTTGTAACTTACAACAGTGCAAAAACAAGTACAACTTATGCAATTTGAAACAGATTTTGGTATTTCAGCCGAGTGGCACTTTAATGCAACAGCGCTCGGTAAAGGCCTCTGTGATGGCATTGGTGGGAATTTAAAAAGACTCGCTGCCCGCACAAGTTTGTAGGCAAAATCAAAAAATCCAATTCTAGATGCCAAAGATTTGTATGAATAGGCTCAAAAAAGTTTGCCAAAAACAAAAGTATTTTTCAGTCCTGAAAAAAATCATATGAAAAGAAATTCTTAAAAAGCGATTTGATTCTGCAAAATCAATTCTTGGGACACAGAAATATCACTTATTTGTTCCTATCGGAAAAGGAATTTTGTACTTAAAAAAATATCGTTTGCTAACGAATATGATATTTTTCCCAAAAATAAAAAATAGGTAAAATGTTCAATAAAAAGTTTATATGAAAAATGTTTATTATTATTATGAGACACTTGCAATTGCATTAAATAGTAGAACTTACTCGTATTTACATTTACGTGCACGTGTAATTATTCAGAGTAAGAGCAACTTATTACTTTCTACAGTTTTCTTTTTCGACTACAAAAACCAAAACATGGGTTTTAATTGCTATTAATTTGAACTATTGCTATAAAATCGATTAGTTTAAGGCAAAACGACACAATCGCCAAAATTTTAAATTTGTTAGAAGTACAAGTAGCTGCAGGTCGATAAAGAATTAAATTCTCTATCGACCTTCTAAAAAAAAAATTGGCGCTTGTGCTGTTTTGACTTAATTTCATCGAAAAATACATTTATTTCTATATAAAAATAATTTTAAAAGTTGTATTGACCCTCTCCAATTAATCCACTAAGTAGTAGGTGCAATAGGTATACTATAGTAGCTGCTAGCTGTTGACCGCACGGTCCCTACGCGCTTCAACCCTTATTTTTTTCGAATTATTCTTGGGATCCCATCTTCATATTACATCAAAATTTAGGGAATTGAAAAAGCTTTCTTTTGATATTAATTAAAAAAAAATGTGTGCCATTTCGAGAAAAAAAACAAATATATTTTTAAAATCGTTTTTTTATAACCAAAAATTTTTTTTTCGCTTTCGAGACCATTTTTATGGTAAAGCGTGGAAAAAATGCTATACGATATGTTGATTATCAATTAAAAAAATATATATTATATACTTGAATATTTCGACGTCTTTTAAGCGCACGAGAAAAAAAATAAATTTTCAGGCTCCTGTATCTCTGCAACCCGCTAATCTTTTTTGCCCCCCATTTGGAAAATTAAGTCCGATAGGACAACTATTTGGCAAAGTTTTGTTAAAATCGGAGACATCATTTTTAGGTGGGAACACTTGAGGTGTTTTGCCCCATTTGTATGTTTTATGCTATGCGTCGGCCTTTATACTTAAGTTTAAGCTCAGCACAAGCAGACTTATTTCTCAGCCTAATGACATAAAAAACAATTTTATACCTATAACTGTTGGTGTTTGTGAGAAGTATCTATGTATTTTTTTCTAAGTATTACATTATTAGTTTGCAAACTATCGCATGCGAGCAAAGTAAAAAATATAGCATATATAGCATGTATAGATGTAAGGACCAACAGGGTTCCTGTTGGTACCTATATGCGTGCCTGTTTTGTACTTTGCTCATAAACTAATAATGTAATAGGTATACCTATTAAGTATACTTAAATAAATCTTAACATCTATAATAAACTTCCTCATAATTATATTCATTATCGTTATTTGTATTCATCGCGTTTGGTGTAAACCCATTTAAAATGTACGTATGTATGGCTTTGTTGCCTTCTATCTATTTTTAATATTACCTTAAGTTAATGATAAAATAACCTTTGCAAATGAAATTTAATTTACAAGAATGGCTTTATATGTTCATGTGTTAAGTTTTTGGTTAGTAGTTGAAGTGTTAATTATATTAATTTTAGTGAGAAGTTGTAAAAATGATAAAATGGAAGGATTTTCTGAGCCACAAATGGTACGAATTTATAGTTAAAAAATTTTAAAAACAACTTATATTCTAGGAAGGTTATGTAAATTCTTTTAATTATCCTATAGAGGTTTACAATGTAGAAACAAGCGATGGATACATTTTAAAACTATTTCGTATTCCACATGGAAAATACAATAAATCAGAGTCTAAAGGACCGCCAATTATTTTAATGCATGCATTTATGGCTTCTTCGGAATCATATGTTATGCTTGGAGAAAATCAATCATTGGCATTTTTGGCAGCTGAAGCTGGTTACGATGTTTGGATGCCAAACGCTAGAGGCAATACTCATTCAAGAAAACATAAAACGTTGAATCCCGATAAGGATTTTAGCTTTTGGAATTTTAGGTAAATACAATAATATAAACAATATAATATAATAAAAAATATAATAAATTTAAAAATTTACAAATTAGTATAAAAATAAATTAATTAATAAAAAGTTAAAATTATTTTAAAAATAGTAAATAAAGTTTGATTTCATATCCAAATTGAAATGTAAATAAGATCAATCAAAGTAGAATTTTCTTTAGCCGAAAAAGTTTAATAACAATTTTATTCAATTTACATAAATCATTCATCATAAAGTTGTAGAAAAGTTTATTAAAATAAAAGTAATAATAATAAAATAAAAAACCTTAAAAAGGCTTTTTTTCATATTATAACACTCATAATTATAATTTATTATTATTTTACGGTTAATGATTTGACTTTTAAACTGCGTACAAATATGTAGTCTTTCTAGTCTCATATGCAAAGAAAATGTCAACTTACAAGTCACTGTAGAATAAATTCATGTATATCCTATCTGTCGGTAAAAGGCAAAAAAAGCAATTTTTCAGTAGAGCCTTAAACGTATTCGCATTAATTTAGAAAACATATTTTTGGTTAGCGGGTATACAGGGGCGTGCTGGCTATATCAGACCGGCCCGGGAAATTCAGAAAAATCGGCCAACTACACACGAAAAATGGGGGGTGAACAAAACCAAGTTCAAAAATTTCATGTATTAATAATTAATAACATAAAGTATAAATTAAATTCTTAAAAAAAAACAGGCAACAAACACAACCAGACAATATTTTACACAATGCTAAAACATATAGCATTGCACTTAAAATAAAACTAATACAAATTATCATCGCTCAGGAAACTTATAAACAATATAGGTAAAATCTGTAAAATAATTATGATATTTATACATAACTCAAATAAAAAAGTTTTTAATTGACCACGTGCTGAGGCATGTTGCGTACATAGCCCTCCGGCACACCGGCCCACTTAGCCCTCCGGACCACCGGCCCACCGGGATTTCTCCCGGTGTCCCGGCGGCCCAGCACGCCCCTGCGGGTATACCTTTTTGTTAGCCCATGTCATATGCTCACAAAGGCGTATACCCGCTAAACATAAATATATTTCCTGAATTAATGCGAACACGTTAAAGGCTCTATTGAAAAATTGCTTTTTTTGACTTATCCTCTTATGCCTTTTACCCACAGCTATAATATAACATATGTCAAACGTCAAACCTGCCAAATATCGCAAACCCGATAATTTCAATGTAAGTACAGAATTCTGTAGCGCCTTGACACCAAACACTGAGCTCGGCTTTTTAAATAAGGGCTTTCTCCGAATAATGGTTAGTAATGTATTAGTAATGTTATTAGGCTGAGAAATTCAGTGAGAAGTGAGCCTGATTGGTCCAAATTATTTGTACAGCCTAGGCCACTTTAGTTGTGAGTGTTTACTACAAGAAAGTTTAAATTATAGACCGCATAAAAATAAAATAAGCTTATTATAAAGGTATTACCTAGGGGTAATATATTTATTTATTTTCAAAAGCCGTTACGTGCATTGTACCTACTTTTACGAAGGCGTAGAAGGCCCAACAAAATTTTACAAGTTTTAGCCAAAACTATAGTTTTGGCTAGTTATAACTTTGATTTTTGCAATTTCTATTCTATAATTGTAATTTGAACTTACAATTGTAGATTCAAGTTACAATTGTAAGTTCAAGTTACAATTGTAACTTGGGCAGAAGTAGTGATAAGAAACAGAATAAAGTTTATACAAAAAAGCATAAACATTCTCTAAATGACTAAATTTCCTTCTTACAAAATCGATTCTGCACTAGGTGTGGGCAAAATAATCGATTATCAAACCGTCGATTTTTTTTTTTGTACTAATCGATTATTCGATTACCTAATCGATTACTATATTATTATAATAATAATTATTATTATTTAAATAAAGAATGTACTGTCTGTCCACGTAAGTTATGGGACCGAATTAATTAAGTTATTTAGTTATGCAACAATTGTCGTTTGTGTGCTTTTAAAACGTATGTTTTATTATATAAATAATAATAAAAAACATAACTGAGTAGGTATATTTTTTAATATTATTTATCTAAATTGCATGAATATTTCTTTGCTCCGCCAACTTATAATGGTCAAACGCATTTTTTTTTAACTAATAATATTATCGATTAATCAAATAATCGATTAATCAAAAAATCGATTAATCAATAAACGATTAATCGAAAAAATCGATTATTTTAGATAATCAATAATCGTCTGCACAGAACCGTTTTAAGGTTATTGGGCTTAAAAATACGTTATGCTTGTCTTTAAATAATATTATAATATTTCTTTTTGCTGAAGCCCCATTTTGAAATATTGTTCCATAGCTACCTATTAAAAACACTAAATTGGTTATAATATAGAGAGAAGAAACAATAAACTTTCCTTTAGGTTTATCCTACAATTTTAACTTAAACCTACAGTTATTGTAGGTTCAAGTTCAACAATTATATAATATAAATTGCAAAAATCAAAGTTAGTTTTGGCTAAAACTTATAAAAATTTTATTGGCCCTTCTACGCCTTCGTATACTTTAAATTAACAGTGTGATTTCTTGTTTTGGGCGAAATTTCGACAAGCAATATCTTTTGAATATATGTTTGGAATTGATTACAAGTTGGCATGTTTATTCTAGTGCCGAGATACAATACAAAGCCTCTACAGTATATTCGAAAATTGCAGATCCAGGCTTTAAAAACTCCCCTATATACTTTATCTTCAAAATCTGTTTTTACATCTGAAAGTTGCATAAAAAATGCTACAAACTTGGCAAATCAATTTGTGTGGCGCAATTCAGATTAATTGATTGATTGATCCCATGCCTAATTATGAAGAATAGTGCAATAATTAATGAAGTTAAAGAAGAAAAGACCGTAGTATTATTTTGTTTTGTAAGGATTCTTTGGCTGGAAGACATTATTCTGATCAAAAAGCTGACGAATAAAATTGCCCGTGTGTTTAATGTTTAAGTGCTAACCGGCTTGGCTGGTTGACTTTGATAAGTTTAGTTTAATATAAAAAAATCGCGCGGGCAATTCATACTGCATTATTGTTCGGGTTTCAAATACGTATACAGAATGTTTGAATGCTAACCTGACTTAAAAGCAGTTTGGTTTTTCATCCGCCCATGCACAGTAAAAAAATTTGCCCGTGTAAATTTTTTAGTGTAGGAGTAAAAATATTAGAGTTGATTTGTAAGTGTAAAAGTTACACTACAAAATACATTAGGTAGCATTTAGTGCTTATTAACTTTATTAAAAAACACATTTAAAGAATATGCACATTATTCATTGGTACATTCACACTATTTATCATTAAAATAAATCAAAAGGGTAGAAAAACTTAATGCGAGTGTTTATTACCCCTTAATGTGTTAAATAGTGACAAAATGTACACTTCAGTGCATGCCAATTTCTTTGTCTGTTTTGATGTTACTAAAAGCTCTTTTTTCTTTACACTACTAGTGCACATTGTATCACAATTAAAGTTAAATTACACCAATAGTGGCAAAATAGACTGAAAAAACTGGTAATAACCGAAATGCGTTTTAAAATGTTTGGTTGGTACCGATCTACCTACGCAGTGCATATCCGGAGATACCGCGTTGTGGAAGTGTGGCATTTTTGTTCAGTTAGATTTTAATTATGGTGAATCCATAAGGGCACATTCTTATTTTTTGGTAAGTCCTTTTTCTTTAAGCCTTAATACTCAATAAATACCAATATGTTAAACGGATGTCCATACCCCACCTATATTATATATCAATAATTTACGGCAGTGGGTTGGGGGGAAACATTAATAATATAAATACATACACACTTGCTTTACTTTTTATTTTCAAGCGTAATGGTTGTTATATTAACCTATACCCACATTTTTATTAATATTATGGAAAATTTGTACACGTGTGGTAAATCCCCGACATACAGCCGCCTGACGCCTCTCTACCAATGGGATCACCCATAACATAAAAATGGATTACTGATTCAAGATAATTCATTGCTTACAAGTTGACAGCCAGTAAAACATTGCATTGATCTAAAACTTTTACGTTTTAAGGAACCATTTTGCTTAAGCCAGCCATTCGACTCAAATATAAAATTATATTTTAAAAGGCACCGATTTTGATAATTGTCATAGATTTTTGATCCAAATAAATGTTTCTCTTTATTTACCTTTTCGTTTTATTCACTACCACCAATAGGTTTTACTCAAATAATAGTGTTAATTTACACTAGAAGTTTGCACTAAAAGAGTAAAAGTACCTTTCTAAAATTAGAACCTTTCCAAAGTATAATTAACACTATAGTGTTAATTTACATTGAACAAAAGTGGGATTTTACCCGTGAAGTGTAGAAGTACATGATTTTAGGTAAATTAACACTTTTTAATACAGTGTAAAATTACTTTATCCTTAGTGCTATAGTTTTAAATCATACTTTCTTACTTGGGGAAAATTACACTACAAATTAACTCTATATAGTAGTAGTGTTATAAAACAACACTTTTTAGTGTGGACCTGTGTGAACTCTAATTAATGTTGCTTAGAGTTTTTACTGTGTGGCTGTTTTTTCAGCAATGTAGATACTGTTTTTATTCTATTATAGTAATATAATATATAATATTCTATTATAGTAATATAATATTTTATTAATATAATAAAAATAATAATAATAATAATAATAATACTTTATTGAACTAAAACCAAGTTCAAAGGCTATTTTATTATATTTTTAAAATTAAACTTTTTTAGTTGGCATGAAATTGGTACAATTGATTTGCCCTGTATTATCGATTTTATTATGAATAAAACAAAATTTGCAAAAGTTAGTTACATAGGACATTCACAAGGTGGCACCGTTTTATTCGTAATGACAAGTGAAAAACCTGAATACAAAGAAAAAATTAATGTGGTCATAGGTTTGGCCCCTGCAGTGTACCTAAATAATTTCGACCATCCATATCTAATGGATTTCGTAGATAATTTTGAAGCTATATACGTGAGTAAATTAATATTAATATTATTCATAAACTATTTGTATTATTCTGTATGATTTTTAGGAGGGACATTCTATGGTAAAATCTGGGGAAAGAATATTTTACTCGAATTACAGCGATATAAGATATTTACTATTTGCTTTTAAAGGTTTATTACCATCCCTAATAATTAAATATTGGACTCTCTTTACGGGCGAATCTGAAGTTTCTAATTGGGTAGTTATTAAGCATTATAGTTAAGTCACAGCATACATGCATGGCTGTGGTTATGTTATGTTGGCGTTATAACGCCAACATAACATAACCACAGCCAACGAATCAAATCTTTTCTAGGCACAACTGTTTAAGTTTCTGGGGACGCTTCCAGCAGGTTCTTCCATCAAACAAATGGCTCATTTTGCTCAACTAATTAATTATCGTAAGATATTTTTTATTTTATAATATATAACTTAAATTCAGGCCTAGGTCGTACTTCTCTTTTATTGTTTTACATTGTTATTATTAAAATATTAAGTTTTTTTAAATTATACCTATATACCGATTTGTTTTAAAATTATAGAGAAACATAAAAAAACATTTCTTTTGCAATTTTGCGGATTTTACAGTACCTACTATTATAGTTGATACTGTAAAATCTGCAAAATTATTTAAGTATAATAAGTACCTACAAACATTGTAAATTAGTGAGTTTCGTTATTTTAAAATATGTTGTAAAATTAAACTTAAATATTTAAAAAGAATCACATGCTTTTCAAATATTTGTTTTAAAAATTTGTATAATTTTTTTTATAAAATAAACAATTTTTTTAATAAACAAAATAACATTTAGAAAAACTGCCATTTTTCATACTTAAAGTCCAAACATTTGCGCAAATTTTAAGTGGATATTATTTTTTTTGTTGAACCCTAAAAATTGCAAAACTTATACATTTTTATTCTTTACGGAAGCGCATGAAATTGCACGACTGAAGAAAAAACTACTTAACTAGTTACTAACTATAGTACCTATAGGTACTGAAGAGTTGTACGAGTAGATATTACAGTTAATGTGCAAATTTCGTACTTACCTACTAGTATATTGACGCTAAAAAGGTAGCAAAAGTATACATAAACTAAAACTAACCAACCCAACCAACCAACCTCACCACAAAATCAACCAAACCAACCAACCTTATTTTTTCAAATGGAAAGGGGAATGTTATGATACATCATTTGAAAAGGCATTATATTTTTTTTAAATGGTGCTTTTTTTTAAATTTGAGCTACGCTTCGCAGAGTAATGGAATTCCGAACACTTTACTGGACCGCTTATTTACAAATTTCGTAAAGCAAAAAATTCGTTGAAACAAATATTAGTGGACAAATCGACTTTATCTTCAGTAAAGTAGTTGATGTGGATAGTTCTTTATTTCTGTGCTTTTATTTTTTTTCGATTTGATAAAAAATGGTTTATTCCAGGAGGCTCCTCGTATAAAGCAACTGAGGCCGGGCCTCACATGTTAAAATTATAATATAATTTGAAATGTTAGATACATTACTTATTTAAATATAAAACATTTTTAAATTAATTTCCAGTCATTAAAACTATCAAAAGATCGAATAACCATCAAAGTTTAAAATATTTCCTTTAAATTTAGCGAGCACCCCTTCCAACTTTAATTCTAAACGCTTAAATCATTGCCCGACCGCATAATAGGGAAATAGTAAGCCCCGAAATTTGCGCTTCATATACGTCACACATTGCCGATACAACATCATGCTTCCCACCGCTGCACGGTGTCGCCGGCACCCCCGCAAGGCGGGGATAATACGCGAATTTTTGTAAGCATTGAGGCCCACAAAGTTGGGCTTGTACCACACAGTGCTCGGATATTCGAAACCATGTCGACGTGCTTACTCTGTCTTGCATAATCTGCTCGCGCCGTCAGTGGGCGGGGCATATATATGCTATACAGGGTTTAGGTAGTTGAATCAAGTATTGTTGAATTTTTCGTTTTCGCGTTCGAAAATTTTTTTCCAGTATTGTAGCGCGCATTTGGATAAAAATTCATATTTCTATAACCGTTGAAGTTAGCGACAAAATATTTTTTTTAAACTTTGTCAATGTTTTTACTAAATTTAATTTGATATATATGTATAGAAATTTTCAATAATTCACATAGCTCGCCGCAGGGTAAAGTTTTTGATGCACGATTTTTATAATTCTATATTGCAAAATTTTTTTTTCAAAATCTTTATAAATTTTTAAAAATTCTGAATTGCTATTAGAAACGCTCATATTTTAAGTATAAGGCTGCAAAAAATCAGAATTTTAGATTTTATTCTAGATTTAATACAACGATTAATGTTTTTTCTTTACGAATCACCGGAATAAAATCGCCTTCTAATTCATGTAAAAATAATTCAAATAATTATAAAAGATCATTTTTATTTTAATATACTGTTATATTAACACACAAATACCACAGTAAAAATCACAAAAAATATAAATAAAAATATTCTGTTTTTTTATAGTTCAGTGTTAAATCGTTGTGTTTCATATACCTACTGTGCTTCTAAATTATTATTTTGTTGTTGCGGTTGTGCCTTTAGGTATTTATCTTAAAATAATTATTGTAAGATAGGTAAAAATCAGCAGTAAACCTGGGTAATGCATTACCCAGGTGGAAACATGCTGAAGGAATAAATGTGGAAACCTGCTGAAGGAATAAATAAAAATCCCACCTCGTCCCGCACTTTTTGTATTATTCTAGCTAAATTTTGAAAATTCTTCTCGTGAAAGAACAAATTTTTAAATAATATATTTTTATTATTTAGATTCTGGTGCTCCAAAAACGCGAGACCTTGAAAATTTCAAAAAAAATTACCTGCGGTGCCATATAGCGGTTCATGGGCCTCACCTTCTTGAATGGTCACTGGTTTATTCTATTGTATAGAGAGTGGAAATTATTGAATTGTATTTTATAAACAATCAATGTGCAAGAGTAGGTAACGGAAACTTTGTTTAATGAGAGGCATGCAAATAGACACATACATCATGGTTACATCCTAGAATTAGTAGCAAAATTTCGGAAAACAGGTTCAGTGGCAAATAAAAAACGAGATATTGAAAATCCGGTAAGAAATTAGGCAGTAGAAGTAGCTGTTCTGAGTGAAATTACTTTGGAGCCTACATTATGTACCAGAAAACTTTTTGATGTAACGGTTTCGCGGGCCACCGTGCAGATAATTCTGAAACATAATAAATGGCACCCATATAAAATTTAACTTCTTCAAGAATTGCATGAATATGAAAATGACCGCCGTTTACAATTTGTCCGAAATAATTATAAATACTCCCAACAACCTTTTTAATGTTTGCTTCTCAGACGAATGTTCATTTTTTCTCAATGGCATTGTCAATCGTCATAATTGTCGTTATTGCTCCGACACGAATCCAAGGATCTTCCATGAGGTTTATACTAAACATCCTTAGAAATTAAACGTTTGGGCTGGTATTTTTGGTGATCACATAATTAGACCATTTTTCTTACAGGGAAATTTAAATGAAGCTACTTACTTAGACTTGTTGGAGAATGCCGTCAACCCAGCGCTGATCGAAATTATGGAAAAAGAACAACGTTACCATGAAGAAAATCCGATATTTTAGCAAGACGGTTCTCCTCTCCATTATGCATTACCATTTACCATTCCCTTGATTTCTTATTGTGGTGACATCTGAAATCCAAAATGTATGCCACCCAGTCTAAATCCATAGAAGATTTACGAAACCTCATCACTATATGCCAACAAATTACACCCGATATTCTTCAATATGTCCGGGAACACTTTAAACAGTTGCTGTATGGAGGCAAATGGCGCACTTTTTCAACAGTTAATAAGATAATACTCAAGTACTAATCAATAAAATTAAATTAAATTTCTCGGCAACCCGTAGCACAAATTTAAAAAACGAAAAGCCATTTTAAAGAAAATTTAATGCCCTTTCAAACGGGGGCATCCATTAATTACGTGAGGTGTTTAGGGGGGGAGGGGGTCGAGCCAAACCTCACCCAATCTCACGTGGGGGGAGGGTATTCTCGGCAAATATCACGTATTTTTTTCTTTTCAATTGAAACAGTGTAAAATTGCGAGAAAACTTGGTTAAATTAAGTAAACAATTATAAGTAATTTGTTTTTTTAAATAAATCTAATGGAATCAAGCACAGATGAACTTATTTACATTAAAACCATGAATTTTAAAAAATCTCACGTGAGATTAAGGGAGGAGGGAGGGGTCGAGCAAAATCTCACGACATCTCACCAAGGGGAGGGGGGGAGTCGAAAAATCGCCAAAATTGCCTCACGTAATTAATGGATGACCCCAAATATGTATCAAATCAGGTATGATTTGAAAAAATAACGGTGAATGCCGTCCCGCTAAAGGGTTCAAGTTACAGTGATTAAATTAATATGTAAATATGTCTCCCTGAAAAAAAAGTATACATGTCCAAAAATTTTTCACATGCAAAGTACTGTATATATATTTATATATATATATGTTACCGGCAATGTGAAAAATCCGACAATGTGCGAAATGTCTAGATACTCTGCAAACTGACTCATGATGCATCATGATGCGATAGTCAATCTGGGGATTAAAGGTTTTTACTTCTCACCAGGGGCGTAGCTACCGCGGTATCAGCCGTATCAATGATACGGGGCCCCCGGCTAGGGGGGCCCCCGATTGGCTTCGACATGCGTAAGCAAAAAACATTTTACCCAAGAATTAAGGCATGAAATTAAATAAATAAATAATATTATTATTTAATTGTTTATACTTCGATTTATTAAATTTTTCTGAATACCCTCCTGTTCCAACAAGGCCGTGAACTGAACGAATTGTTTCTGCCCGCACCTTTCCACTATGCGTTGTCTGCGGTGCAGTTTGCGCATATTGTTCTATGCTCTGCTCCGCATACTGAGTCTGATTTGCGTGTTATTATCATAGGTTATATATAACCTATGATAATAACAAGCGAATCAGACTAATATTAATAGCAAATTAGAAATTATTATTGGCGTTAAAATTATTTCAAATGACTTGCTTTTTTTAAATAGAAACATTTTAAAAGATATTGAAGAACGGTAAACGTCTAAAACCAGACCAAATTATGTATACATATATTATTTATTAAATTATAAAAAATTGGTAAATTCAAAAAATTAATACCCTAAATAGATTTTTGGCGTGACACCCA